TCCTTGCATCTGCACAGGGTCCCCTACAGTTTTTCCTTTCCCCAACTTCCCCCAAACAGAACTCCTTCTGGTACTTTGTTCTCGGCAGAGTCTGGAATTCTTGCCTCTAAATTCCAGTGTCCTTAGGATTGAGAAACCAGTATCAGCTGATAACCATCTTGGATGCCAGCCGTATACAAAGACCTTCCAGGTATTGGTGATTTAAGTCCCATTAATTGCCTGTCTTGAGTCCTAGATACCCAGGATCCTGAATTCACTATAAACAAATTGGCTAATGATACTTCCATACTTTTCTCTCCCCTCTGACCGCTTCAGCTGCCTTCTCCCACATAAGCTGATGTCCCAAATTCAGTCTTAAACACATGTCCCCTGCCTTTGTTCCTGTGTTCAGACTTACCTGTGCATCTTAATCGTGGATCTGCTTACATTCTGGCTCTGACCTTCCCCAGTCTGCACTGATTGTCCCTATCAAAGACCACTAATTCCGATAGATGTTGCAAAATTCTTGCTGGAGCAAGAACCAGCATCAGAGTGTGGACAGTCCAAAGTTTGCAGATGTAGGTAGTCAAGGAAAAAATAAAATAACCGATTTTTGCTGAAATAACTGATATTTGCTGGAGTTTTGGCCCAAGACGATGATGATGGCAGCTGACATTTATTAGGCATTTACTCAAAAATGATTTCTGACACTAAAAAACCTTAGTATTTACTGAGTGCTTACTATATTCCAAGTGCATCAACCCTATGAGCTGGGCATTTTATCGCTATCCCTGGAATAGAGGGAACTAAGGCAAAGAGAGGCTGAGGAACCCGCCCATGATCACACAGCCGGGCGGGAGCAGCAGAGGAGGAGGCCAGGGCTGTCTGACACAAGGCCTTGTCTGAGGGCCCCTCACAATCCTGCCTCCTAAGGAGTCTTACCTAAAAAGGCAACTTTCTCGTCTAACACTTAACGCCGAAAAAATCCTGAATGTTTGAAAGATGGGGTTACCTTTGTCTACTTAAATATGCAAACCCTTAGGGTCAGTGAGGATTCTCAATAAAGAAAGAGTCTAGTCATCCATGCAGAAAAAGCGAGAAAGAATTGTGCATTTAACTAAGAAAATTTCTGATAAACATCATTTCTATTATTATTGTAGAGATGTTTAAGATATATATTAACCATCTATTCTCTATTTTAAATATTACACTCATTTGCACGTCAGATGATTTACTGTCCTGGCAACTAACGCCTATTTAAAACAGGGCTCCCAGCCGCTATCCTGGCAGGACTTCCTTCTGACAGAGAAGTTCAAGAGGGATGTTGAGCCATATTCCCATCTTCCTTCTTTCCTTACACTGTCCTCCCAGCTGAACCTGGAGTTAATCAAAATTCAGCTAAATTCTCAGATCCAGCGACTTACTTTTCCGAGTCTGAAAGCCTGACATGGGTCTTTCCATTCACAGTCGCACGTCCAGTGTGACGCAGACCCTCTCCGTGACTTATTCATGTCCTTTAAGGATTCACGACTGTTCCCGTTACCGAACAGTCAGTTAGGAGTTTGTTATTTTTGCAATCTAGAAAATGCTATAATGGAACATTTAATCAGACTGAAGGAGCGGAGTTTCACCAAAGAACACTCTGATAGATTTCTGATGATGCCATTTGTTTAGGAACATGATTCAGCACAAAAATCACTTTGGACATCCTACAGAGAACAAGAAAATGAGCCGTTTCTCTCATATAGCACACCGTGCCAACAGGCTATCATCTTCTCACTGCTGACACCTGACGGTTGAACAAAGCGTCTAAATATGTAGGTTGATTATTTCTAAATTAATATAGAATTTGTATTATTTTATGAAGTTTCAAGAAATCTGGTGGATGTTTTTTCGAGTCGTTTTGATTGATGTTTCGTTTGAGAAGGAGGCTTTTACACACGCCGGGCCCTGGCCCACATTCGGATAGGCTGGCAGCAGCTCAAATCCGACTTTGGTGGAGTTTCTAAGACCTTCCTTGCTCTAAAAGCAAATGCACTCTGTGTCTCCTACTGCCCTCTACTGGCTGGAGCAAGAGGTGCTGGCTAGACTGGACTTGGTAATTCAGGAACCGAGTGTCTGCTTCCAGTAATGGATGTGCGAGGCGCTCCACTCCGCACAGGTTACCCTCCAGGACAGTGTGATTATAGGACTTGACAACAAGACTAACTGGCCCACCATGTAGTGGGGTGGTGTGGGAAGCCCCTGAAATACTGCTTGGGATGAAGCCACAGCAGAACACCTGCAGGGGCTGGGTTTCACCTCGCGACAGCCTCCTGAGCTTGCAGACAAGCGTGGCAGCTAAGCCCCACACAAATGCGGTCTCAAATTCCGTGTCTGCCAACACCCCACGCCGCTTCTCCTTTGTGCAACTAAAGCAGGTGGGAGTGCGGTGCTGCTGCCACCAGGTTACTTCTCCCCAGGACTCCTCCCCGCCTCCCCAGGGTAAAAGAAAAGTCTGTGGGAACTACTCATCATTCATAGGGGGATGCCACTAAATGTTTTTCAACATTGATAAAACTGGAAACAGAGGAGATTACAGAGAGGTAACAATCAGGAAAATAAAGGTAGAAATAATTTAAAAGTGGCTACCTGGGCTGGCCCGGTGGCACAGTGGTTAAGCGCGCACGTTCTGCTTCGGCAGCCCGGGGTTCGCTGGTTTGGATCCCGGGTGTGGACATGGCACTGCTTGTCAAGCCATGCTGTGGTAGGCGTCCCACATAGAAAGTAGAGGAAGATGGGCACGGATGTTAGCTCAGGGCCAGTCTTCCTCAGCAAAAAGAGGAGGACTGGTGGCAGATGTTAGCTCAGGGCTAATCTTCCTCAAAAAAAAAAAAGAGGCTACCTAATGGAAGTGGGGCTGGAAATGGGGTGAGAAGGGAGACAGGAGACTCTTCCTTGATTTTGGACTCTTTTGTATTGCTTGATTTCTTTACATGTGCATGAGTTAATTTTATAATTATCTTTATAAACTTTCAAGCCTTTCATAAACAGTGTAGTTCAGAGACACCTGAAGACTGATTTCTGTGCCAGGGAAGGGTACGGCACTATGGTGGGTATATGAGTTAGGGTAGGCTGGCTGCTGTATATACCAACCCCTTAGGAGTTCATTTCTCTCTCAGAGCAAGGAAGCTCCAGGCAGTGAGGTGGGGCTGGGGCAGTGGGAGGAGGGGGCGGGGGAGATGCCATGTTGTGTGCGGTCGTGCAAGGAGCCAGGCTGGCAGAGGCACTACTACCATCAGCAGGTGGTTTCACAGGTCACCCGAGAATCAACACTGAGCCAGCAGAGGGGAGAAAACATGGAGAGGAAGGTGCGGGAGGATGCTGTGGCCAGGCCTGGGGATGGGGCCGATCACTTCTGCTCACATTCCATTGGGTGGATCTCAGGCAGTTGCCACACCTCGCTGCAAGGGAGGCTGGGAATTAGGGTCAGCAGAGCGCCCAGGAGGGAGAGAACGTGGATTTCTGGTTAGCAGATAGCAGTCTGTCACAGAGACAGCCATATTTACTTCTAGGGTCTCTGATTTGGGGCCCCACAGTCAGGTTGAATGATACTAGGATAAAACCCTTATCCCAAAGAAGGGATGGAGACAATGGTTTCTGACACATCCCTCAGCCCACCTCCTCAGCTGAAGTCAGACTGTTCCCATGCTCACTGCCAGGTCCCACAGGGGGGGCCCCTGTGACTTTCGGCTCTTCTGCCTCTGAGGTTTTTCTGAAGCCACAGGAGTTCCTTCACCCGTTGTGCAGGACAGCCCAAAAGTACAGGGGAATTAACGCCCTGGGGCAAACCCGACCCAGTGGTGGGCAGAGTAGATGGGCCCCAGGGCACATCCCACATGGGTTTTCAGCAAGTTTCCAGCAGAGTTGAGCCCCCGTCACCGTGGTGGTAGCCAGCCCACTAAGGCACCACTCTCTCTGCTGGTCACTCTGCCTGTCGCCCTCTCTCCCTCCTCCCAAATAAACTATCAGAACTCAAGTCCTTGTCCCAGGCTCTGTTTTGGGGAAGAACGGCCCAAATTAAGACAGAAGAGTTAAATGCTTCCCCTGGCTTCTCAAGAAAGGGAGCTCTAGGAATTTAGGAGCCCTCCCTGAGGAAGGATGGAGGAAGGGTTTGTCCCCTGTCGGAGGATCCTAGGCTGGAATGTGCAGAAGGTATTGCTGGATGCTTGAAAGTGTGCTTACCAGATACCTGCTCGACTCCCAAACACCTGCTACCATTCTCTAACAGAGGGAATTGTACACTTGACAGAGTAAGACCCCTTTGGGGACTGCAAGAGCCACCTAGTCTAGTGATTTGTTTTCAAGAAACAGAAACCTCTTCAAGGAGGCTTTTATAGTTAAATAGTTGAAGCAGTTTCACTACGAGAAGACAGGGGCCTTCCAAGGAACTCAGTCGCAGTAAGGATAGTCAGGCCATACGGTACCCAGAAATCATCAGGCACCTTTCCTCTGATTCTCTGCGACAGCGTGTTCTCTCAGCGCTGCTCTGTGTCCGTGAACAGTCTCTGAGGTCTGGCTTCTTGGCAAGGCTCGTAGTTTCTGCTCCTCCACAGCACCATATTTCGTGTGGCTTTGCATCAAAATTGCACCAACTCTGGCTCCAACACTGAACAACCGTAATCCGGCGCCTACCTCTTTAACTGGGGCTTGGTGTGTGTGAGGTTGGGGGGATGGTGGTCAAACTAGAAAGGGAAGAGGGACGTGGCAGGAGCGGCGAGGTGGATGTATGTTTGAGGTGGAAACTTTGGGGCAGAGTGATCACAGCAGAAGGGATCAAATTAGTTCTCTAAAGATCAAAGCGAGTTAGGACGGGAGCCGGTGAACGTCTGTGGTGTGAGTGTGTCTAAGATGGAAGGCAGAGTTAAGGCTGGGGCCGGATGGTGCAGGGAACTGAGACGCGTTATGGCACAAATTAGAGAGCAGAGGCGTCATGCCAAGAAATCTACGCATATATGGCTACAAGTAATAGAATGCCTGAGTGTGGCTTAAACAATATGAATATTTAATTCTGTCACATAAGAAACCTTGAGATAGGCTAACAAAGGAGCTCAAAGGTGGCGGGGCTCTGGGCTGGCTTCTCTGTCATTCTCTGGGTTTTAACCTACAGGTCAGAGCTCGACAGCAGCAGCACCAAATATCGTGAACTCCCACATGCAAGGCAGGGGGTTTCTCTGAAAGTCTCCCTTTCGTGAAGGACAGACACCCTCCCTGGAGGTCCACAACATACTTTCCTCAGGTCCCAGTGCTCAGAGCAGGGTTTCATACTTAGTCTCTATCCAATCACTTGCAAAGGGAGATTCCATGAGAGCAGGGACTTTACCTGTTATTAGTCATTGCTGTATTCTCAGAACTGAGAATCCCTTTGGCACATAGTAAGTACTTAATAAACATTTGCTAAACAAATGAGAGGAATATAGCATGACCACGATTGGCTTGGATCAATCTGTGACTCATTTCCTGTGGCGGGGGCCAGAGTCCACCTTCTCTGACCACATTGCTGCTCCATAACGATACCCCACTTGGCTTTGGCCCCTGCTTTATACCATGCACAAAAATTATCACAAGATGGATCACACAACTAAATGAAAAAGGTAAAACAATAAAATCTCTAGAAGAAAACAGAAGCATTTGCCTATGACTATGCGGATCTTTGGATGTGTCAACTTAACTAGGCTATAGGCCTCAGTCATTCAGTCAGACACTAATCTAGGTGGTACATGAAGGTATTTTGAATGTGATTAAAGTTGACTTTAGGTAAGGTACATACCCTAGGTAATCTGGATGGGCCTGGTTCAATCAGTGGAAGCCCTCAAGAGCAGAGTGTGTCTTCCCTGATGCAGAAGAAATTCCACCTGTGGATGGCAGCTTCAGCCCATGCCAAAAGTTCCATCCTGTCCTTCCTGACAGCCTGCCCTACAGATTTTGAACTTGCCTAGCAGGCCCCCACAATCACATAAGACAATTCCTTGCAACAATCTCTTAATATGTATATCCCAGTGGTTCTGCTTCTCTAGCTGAAACCTGATTGATACCATGACATTGGCATAGGCAAAAATTTTTTAACCAGGACTCAAAAAGCACTGCTATGAAAACTTGATAAGTTGGACTTCATTAAAGTTATTTCATTAGAATATACCATTAAGAGAATAAAAAGACAAATCACACAATGGAGAAGTTATTCACAGTACATATTTCTGACAAAAGACATGTTAGGAATATGTAAATTACTCCTACAAATCAATAAGAAAAAAATGAAGAACTCACCTAAAAGCGGATATAAGACTTGAGCAGGCATTTCACAAAATAAGACATCCAAACATCCATTAAGCATATGAAAATGTGCTCAGTGTCATTACTCATTAGGGAAATGCAAGTTAAAACCACAATGAAATACCACTAGACACCAACCAGAATGGCTAAAATTAAGAGGATCAACAGTGCAAATGATGACAAGGATGTGGATGAACTGGGATTCTTATGCGTTGCTGATGGAAATATAAATAGTGTAACCATTTTGTAAGCAAATTTGCAGTTTCTGCTAAAGCTAAATGTAGCTGACCCCGTGATAGCAATTCCAGTTCTAGGAATTTACCCAAGAGAAATGGGTATATATGTTCACAAAGGATGTGCATAAGAATGTTCATCACAGCTGTATTCATGTTAGCCAAACTGGAAACCACTCAATGCCCATCAATGGAAGAATAGATAAATTGTGGTGTATGCATAAAATAGAATACTACAAAGCAGTTAGAAACAACATACAGTGATGAATGTCAATTATTTCTCAGTAAAACTGGGTGGGGAAAGAATATAGCTATGAGCTAAAAAGAAAAGAAAAAAACAAACTACTGGTACATGCAACAACATGATGAATCTCATAGGTATTAAGCTAAGTGAAAGAAGCCACATTTAAAAGAATGCATATTGTATGGTTCCACTTATACAAAGTTTAAGAACAGGCAAAACTAGTCAATGACAACAGAAGTGAGGATAGTGATTACCTCCCGTTGGGTTGGGATGCAGACTGGGAAGAAGCAAGAGGGACTCTTGTGAGGTGCTGGAAGTTTTCTTTATCCTGATCTGGGTGGTGATGACACAAGGGGATACATATGCAATAATTCATCAGGCTACGCATTTAGGACTGGTGCTTTTGGGGTACACTTATTATCCCTGTAAAAGTTTAAAAAAAACATTAGGGGGTTCTATTTCCAAGGAAGTATTGGGTAAACATGGACAGCATCTACCACACCCACTCCAGGGGTCTAAGAACAGAGGTTCCTGGTCTTCCTACCTACCTCGAGGGCATGCCCACCGAACCTGAGGAGGAGGGTCTGAGAAGCACTGTCTCAGGACGTCACCTGGGAGGCTGGTGGAGTTGGAGTCCTGGGAGCTCAGTCAACCCTCCACTGATCGTTACCTGGGTTGGTGCAGCGGTGTGCAAAAGGAACGCGGACAGATCAGACGGGATCTCTTCAAATGTAACCCTATTGCCTAAAATTCACTTTCATGAACGTTGTGGGATGCCAGAACCAATGAAGAAGATGGATCTGGGCACATAATTATTTATGGTAAGCACAGATATGCACAAATCTCAGCTGACCTGCGAGGCCTCCTTCCTGCCAGTATCATCCTAAGACTACATTGACATTTGTAGTTCCAAGGTCTTCACTAGTTGGTACCCAGGAATATCTCCTCATGTATCTCATTTGGTTAGAAGGCTTAAATTAAACAAAGCATCAGGTGAAGGACTTGCTGCTGTCAAAACTATTCAAAGCCTGTTCTAAATGACCTCCTCCAAAATGCAGACCCATCCATTTGTTAAACATTCCATTTAAACTTCATGCTTAGGGGCTGGCCCTGTGGCCGAGTGCTTAAGTTCGCATGCTCTGCTTTGGCGTCCGAGGTTCGCTGGTTCGGATCCTGGGTGCAGACCTAGCACCACTCATCTGGTCATCCGGCCATGCTGAGGTGGGGTCCCATATAGCAGAACTAGAAGGACCTATAACTATGTACGGGGGCGGGGTGGGGAGTGGAGGGTGGGTTGGGGAGGGAAAAGAAAAAGAGGAAGATTAGCAACAGATGTTAGCTCAGGGCCAAAAGACTTTATGCCTATTTCTTCCTTAAAATATGTCAGACTGAGATTTCTTGATCAATATTTTATAGAAGATTCAATAAAGTTGCAAGCACAGATACTATACTACTACCTAATGGAAAAAATTATCAAGAATAACATAACAGATTGTTAGTGGCCTCACATTATTGGAATTAAATGGGCATAACTTAAAATTTTTAATAAATGAACTATAGAGTTGATTTTTCCTGCCTGTTTTTAATTTACTTCTCCTCTGCCTTTACCCCTGGACGAGAATGAACGACTCTGGGTTAAGCTTCCTGAGCACAGTATTAACTCCTATCTATTGGTTCTTACACAAAAGCTGCATTTGAATATCTTAGCAAGAATCTGTATCTGTCTTCTGACAGATCTGTCTCCAGGAAACCAGATAGCTATATTGAGGGGCTTAAAGCAGGACTATGAGCTCCCTCCTTCCCACATCTTTTAGCTGCTCTTCGAGTGACAAAAAAACACTGGATGACCGGGCTGCATCGCCCCTGCTGGAGACATGAACCAGGACTGGCTTCAACATTACTCAAAACTGGACTTTTCATGGGAGCATTCTATGGTTTTCACTGTCTCTGATGAGTGATTGGTAAAAGCTTCTTTGAAAATCTTGCATGCTAAGTCCCTCCTCTACGTTCTATGATACAAAGACTTGGGGAACTTGAATCTGTTCACTTATTGAAGGCCCAGAGCAGGCCTTCAGGACAATCCTGCTTGGTTCCAGGTTCTCCCTGAGTGGCCCTTTGAAGTGAGGACGGTGGGCAGGTGGTATTTTGCAAGATGGCTACAACAATATTTCTGGTCCCACATGCTCTTGCAAACCCTGCTGCTTCCCCATCAATATCTCCTGCAGTCTATGTTCTTTCTTCTTGACCCTGGGCAGAACTTTGCGCATGCGTCAATGAATAGAATGTGGTAGAAATGACAGTGTGTGACTTCCAAGTCTAGGTCAAGGAGGCAGATGACTTCCACCTGCTTCTCTTTCTCTCTCTCTCTCTTCCTGAGCCACCATGTCAGAAGTCCAGCTCTCCTGAAGCCATGCTGTGTGAGAGACCGTGTGCCGAAACTACACTGAGACTGAGTAGCCCGAGGAGCCCAGCTGTTCCTGCCCCGGCTGACTGAGTCTTCTCAGCCTCGCACCAGACGTGTGCGTGAGCAGGACTGCAGATGACTCCAGCCCCAGTCATGAGAAAAGCTGAGCGAGAACCACCTTGTTGAGCCCAGTCAACCCCCATAACCATGAGAAATAATTATAATGACCACTGTTGTTTTAAGCCACGAGGTTTTAAGACAGTTTGCTAGGCAGCAACAGACAACCAGAAGAGAGGGCTAGCGAGTCACCCGTCCGGAAGAGGTTTTGGTAAGATGCCTCAATCTTCATAAAAGCTTGTAAAAAAACCTCCTTTGATAGCTGTAGTATACGTTTCCACTCTAAATGAACAAAATAGAACAACGTCCCTTCAGGCCTCGAGAGAAGACAGAACTCCAATGACCTGCTCCCAACCCTTATGAAAAGTCTGGTTCCAGGAGGCGATCTTAATGGAGAATTGTCTGAAGGACTTGCACTCATCTGGATTTTCTAGATGTATTCTCTGAGTCAGCCAAAATTTTAGAAAGTTTCAGTGTTAAACCATATTTCCTTGGTCTCCTATAAAATCGCTTTCAATGAGTTGCGCTATATGGGACGGGCCTCAGGTTTCAGCTGTGAGATGATATTAGAAAAGCCCTGTTGGATTTGCTGTAAGAACATCGTTGAGGACTGTTTTTACATCACTCAGTCTCCAGGTACAGAGCCCCATACCAGAGATTTATTTTAGAGCTAAGCTCCAGTAAAAGCGTGAGAAACTAGAATGCTTTGCCTTTGTAGTCAAGAGAACTAAGGCTGGCCTTCATTTTTTCAGCGGAAAACAAATCTGAATCTGCGGCTCAGATAATTATATGGAGCCCTATTGCCTGCATAACTCTTTCTCTCCGCTGACTTGTTTTTGTCTAATGTATGTTTCTAATGATCCTGGCTTCATTTATTATTTATATTTTCTATTTGATCATACATATGCTTATAAGCTTTTCCAAATCCCTTGTGAAAGAAGACATAATGGAAATAAAGTGAGAAGTAAATGAACGTATAAGTAAATTACCCTTCTGAGACATCACCAGATTGTTGGCCTCCCACAGGTCTGGTCTGATGATTAATCCATTTTTCCCAAATATGGATTAAGCATCTGCTCTGAGCCAGACACTGTATTAGGGAGGGTCTGAGCTAAAGAGATTTTTTTTAGAAATCACAGTCCTTGCCCTCAGGGAAATGGGATGGATGCCTGAGGGTGGTCCAGAAGTTAGGGGCCCAGCTGTATTAGGTGGTGATCTCAAATAGTGAGCTCTGTGAGGTTCCATGGTCACAGCAAAGCCACAGCTCCCAGTATTCTTCATAAATAAGCCGGGGGTGGGGACAGGGGTGAAGGTAGATATTAGATGAACATGCACTTTGGGTTCCTAGCCAGGAACTTTCGGGGGCTACCATCTTAAAAACTCCCTCCAGTTCTGGAGAAATTGTTGGCAAAACTTGCCCCTGAGACCTGCACTGCCCCTCCCGTGCTGACCAATCCATTAATCCCCTGCGAGACCGACACTCATAACTCTGGTCTGTGACTTGGCTGCTCATTCTGCTTCTGGACTGATTCTCTGACTCCTGCTCAGGTCATCCGCAATCTTCCTTTGTGCAGTTGGGTAGCCTTTTACGCCTGTCGCTCAGGACACAGCAAGGCCCTCCAGCCCTGCAGGCTCTCGGCTTCCCCTGCCATGGTGACAACAGACCCAGTCTGCCTTGTCAACCTGAACCTTCGCCTTCTAAGCCACCTCACTATTTCCAACAGCGTTTCGTCAACGCTTCTGTTCAGTCTCTGTCCTTCTTTGCTGGTGTTTGCCAGCAGGGGGCTCTGTACTCTTGTCTCCGGGGGTTCCCCCCACAGCTTGGGCTATTTTGCCCTCTTTTTCTAAGACAGCTGCCCCTCTCCACCCTAATATTGACAAATGTAGTTACTAATCCTATTACCCTAGAATCTAAATTCCAAAAAAGATGCTTGATTTGCTAACGCAAATATTCATAAATACTTTAAAATTAAATATTAAATCCCTTCTGGCTTCTCAAAATGCCAGGTTCTGGGTACTTAAAAATGGAAATAAGTTGTCTTTCTATAGGCCCTTGTCTACGGAGTTTTAACAAACCGTAGTACTCTGAGCTAAATTCAAATAGGTGTAAATTGCTTTTTTGAAATATTCATAAGCTGTCTTCCATTTACCTAATAAGAGATATGTGACCTCAGCTAATTTCCCTGGCAAATAACTCATTGGAAAGTGTGAGTACTCTTTCTGGCAAATAGTCCTCATGGCTGCCATTTGTTCTCAACAGAACGTAAAAAGGAAAAGAGAGTCCCCCTTTTGCATGTAGGAAAATCATTTTGGGGTGACTTTGGTAATTGACCACATCACCAGCCACTGAGCACTCTTTGCTTAATGATTACTTGAAGTGTCGATGCTACAGAATGAAACCACATTTAGGTGATGATGGCCCCGTGACTGCAACATAACTGTGAAGGTGGAGGTATCCCTCATCAACGTGGCACGTTTTGTCTCCTGCTCTCGCCCTCCATTAACAGCGTCCACCCTCCTTCTCCCCAATACTTTGTCAAAGAAATATCCACCTCTAAGAACTATCCCCAAAAACCCCCACAACTTTTCACATCAGTTTGGCTGCTGTTTTGAAGGATACCAGTCAAAAAGATATAATTTTGCATCCTGCTGTCCACCTGGTTGGGTGTGTCAGGTACGTCTTAGAGCAATACCTCCACGCTGTGCTTCTACAGAGAATAATCAAAGCAGATTTTATACACAACTCACTGCATTTCTCTACCCAGAACACATTCTTTCACAGCAGCTGGTTCCACATCTGCTACTTACCCATACCTTTAAGCACCACATTACCCCTTGCAACTGGCCAGTAGCTGTAGAAGCCATAAGCCACTAGACAAAGTCTGGAGGAAATCCACCTGTCTGCCAAAACGCACTATGCAGTTATTGCTACTGAACACCAAGGAAATATATTGAGCAGAGGACATAATCTAGTTATTTTTCTTACGGAAACATATCACCTGCCCATGCTAAAACTGAGATGACCAGCACTGGGGTTCCTCGAGCTCTTGAAAAACATTGACCTCACGGCCTACTCTATCAGTCAGAATGCTTTGTATTACAAGTGACAGAAAATCCAGTGTAAAGCAGTTGAAACAACTAAGTCAAATTGTTAGCTCATGACTCATAACTCCAAGATCCAGACTGAAGGCTGGCTGGGAGAAGCTTGAACCTGCAGCACGAACCATGTCATTAAGGACTGGGTTTCTCTCCATCTGTCCACTCAGTGTTGGCTTCATCCCCTGTCTCTACACCAAGGCCCTCGGGTAGTTCTAGAATCCTCCCATGAGAACAAAACGACAGCAGCAGTTCCAGCACATTCCATCACACCACACCATCCAGGCAGATGCAAGTAGTTCCTGAAGAGCTGAGAGGATTTCCTAGAAATCTCAGCAAACATTCCTTGCATCTCATCAACTGTGACTAACACACATGACCAACCCTGAACAAATAACTGAGACCTACAAAATGAGATTGGAGCTAGGGTGGTTGTCTCCAAAGAAAATCAAGATGGGGGGCTGGCCCCGTGGCCGAGTGGTGAAGTTCACATGTACTGCTTTGGCGGCCCGGGGTTTCACCATTTCGGAGCCTGGGCACAGACCTAGTACTGCTCATCAAGGCATCAAGCTGAGGCTGTGTCCCACATAGAAGAACTAGAAGGACCTACAACTAGAATCTACAACTATTTACTGGGGGGCTATGGGGAGAAGAAGAAAAAGACTGGCAATAGATGTTAGCTTAGGGCCAATATTTAAAAAAAGAAACAAATCAAGATGAGGAATGGATTTTGGGTAGTGGAAACAATGTCCACAAAATCTTCTTATCCCTGTGCATTTACCCCGTCTTTCCCAATTCCCCATGCTGCCTGACGCCAGGGAAAGAAAACTGTGCTCGTCTGAACTGATGCAATTCCTCTGTTTTCAACCAGTTTCCTTGGGTTATTTCATCTACTGCCGAGGCCTTAAACACCATCCACATGAGGATGCCTCTTGAGGCAGTACCTTCAAGCTGGACCATTCTCCTGAATGTTAAAGAGATATGCTCAACTCTACTAGATAGCGGCATTTGTTTTACTCAAAAGCATTTGAAACTCTTATTCTTGAAAAAGAATTCTTATCTTTTAGAAATACATGCTAAAGTATTTACAGAAGAAATGATATGATATTTGGGATTTGCTTCAAAATACTCCAGTGGAGAGAGGGGATTGTGGGTTTAGCTGAAATCAGATAGATGAAATGGTAGTTGTGGAAGCTACAGGTGAGTTCACATGAAGCTATTATACTATTCTTTCAACTTTGGTATATGTTTGACACTTTTCATGAGAAATTTCCTAAAGCACCTGAAACTCGACATGTTTCTGAAAGTTAAATAGATTCAGCCACACAGATAGACTTAAAATAATAAGTCAAGTGCTGCATCTCGATGTCTTGGTCAACGACAGACCACATGCACAACCGTGGTCCCATATAATCTTATAATCTAATCTTATAATCTAATCTGTGCCTTAGAGCCTAGGTGTGTAGTAGGCTGTGCCATCTAGGTCTATGTACCTACACTCTGTGATGTTCATAAAAATAACGAAATCGATTAACGAGCCATTTCTCAGAATGCGTCGCTATCACTAAGTGACACGCGACTGCACTGGCTTTACAGGAGAAAGGATGTCTCTCTTTCCTGTGAAAGTCAGCTGTGTCACTCCGCAGCGTCAGGCCCGAGTTCTTCCATCTCGTTGCTCCGCCATCCACAGGGTGCTCTCTTGGTCTACACGGTCCCACATGGCTCAAGGTCATATCACATTTTGACCAGCAAGAAGGAAAAGAGGAAGGGGTATGCTACTCCTTGAAGAGTGCCACCCAGAAGCCACAAATATCACCGCTACTCTGATCCCATTACCCAGGACTTAATCACGCGAGTCCTCTAGCTGCAAGCAAGGCTGGGAAGTATACGGCCTTTCTGGGCAGCCACACGCCAAGCTGAAGACTCTGTTGTTGTTGCTTTTTTTTTTTAACAATCTCCATTCTTTCGGGGGGGTGAGGAGGGGGGAGATTGGCCGTGAGCCAACATGTGTTGCCAATCCTCCCCCCTCTGCCTAAGGAAGACTGTAGTCGAGCTGACATCTGTACCAATCCTCCTCCACTCTGTATGTGGACGGCTGCCACAGTATGGCCTGATGAGCAGTGCGCAGGTCCAGGCCTGGGATCCAAACCTGCAAACATCGGGCTGTCAAAGCAGAGCATGCGAACTTAACCATTACACCACTGGGCTCGCCCCTTTTCCTTTTTTTTTTTCGGTGAGGAAGATTGTCCCTGAGCTAACATCTGTGCCAATCTTCCTCTATTTTGTATGTGGGATGCCACCACATCATGGCTTGAGGAGCAGTGTGTAGGTCTGCACCCAGGATCTGAACACTCAGCCATTGAAGCAGAGCACACAAATTACGCCACCAGGCTGGCCAAGACTTCTAATACTAAGAAAGAAGAGTTATTGAGGGGCCACTAACGGTCTCTGGCCTATTCTGCCCTGTAGCCACCACAATATCCACATGCACCCTTCCTCCACACATTTGTTTCCTCCCTGGGGTCAGAAACCACCAAAGTCCCATCCAGTTTCTGCATCCTGCTAAATCACAATCTCTGGATGTCCACATATAATTCCTTATGGTCTGGCAGCCTATAAACTAGAAGACAAGTTCCTTGCCTCCAATCTTTCTGCTATAAGTTGTAGAGCAGGAATGGGATAGCCAATATATTTTTTTAAAACAATCTACTTGAAAAAGAGACGAATGGGGAAGACCCAGGTGCCTGTGGTTCACAGCAGTCATCAAACCCAGCAGGGCAGTCATTGCAGTGTTCCTGCCCTGGGACTGGAGTAAATTCCCAGGTTATCCCACTTGGCGTTGCTATTCCTGCTGCCTGGGAGTGGGTGGGCGGGGGAGGTGGGAACCTCTCCCTTGAATCCTTCTCCCTTCCTCTCCATGACCCTAGGTGTTGTCCTGTGGGAGGGTCTTCCTGTCCATTCTTCTCTGTGGCCACATCTGAAGTGGGCTTTGCAGAACGTATCCTCCTTGGGGCTGTTTAGTTTTCAAAAGGGACGTCTGTGGTACAGGCTTGGTGGCCTCCACGCAAGCAACCACACAGCCAAAGGTTTCCTCTAGACATCTTTTAAGTCCGAGGACTGATCTTTTATGGAGAAGGCATGGAAACAGACTCTCCACTGTAGCCTCCAGGAAGGGGCGCAGGCCTGGCAACACCCCGCTTCCAGGCAGTGAGACCCGCGTCAGACGTCTGACCTCCAGAACTGTGAGATGATAAGTCTGCGTTGTTTTCAGCCACTGGGTTTGTGGTAACTTATTCCAGCAGCCACGGGAAACCAACACAGGGCCCTCCTCCTTGTGAACATAGGGAAGCTGTGACACCACCGAACCCACGGAAGCAGGTAAGGTGAGGGGGGTGAGGAGGAGCCTGTGGGTGACAGTGCTGTTCCTGACTCTGAACCCACTCCTTGCACCATATGGAGGTAAATGCCAGAAAGCCAGCAGAAACAGGCCCAGACTGCAGACTCTGCATCAAATCTCTCTTCTGTTCCTGGCTTTTCAAGTCCTGGCACAATTCTCTGACTTCTAATGTCTGCCTTTGCCCCTCACCCTCAGTCTGCAGATCCAGCTCCTCATGTGGCCCCATGCTGGGCCTGCTCCCTTGATTCCTGGGACATCACAGCTTCAGGCAACGGGGCCTTCCCAGCAGTCCTCAGGAAGAAGAGAAGCAGAGATTCAGGGAAGAACAATGTTGCGAATCGGGGATCATGTTACCAAAGACTTAGCATCAAATAAATCCTAGATTTGCCCCATTAAATAACGAAAAAGCAAAGAAGCAACTAGAAAAGGCTGTAACACCTAAAAATTGTAAGAAGCTGCTCAAATCTTATAAAACAGAAGCCACTGTCTTATCCACATAGATTTCCTAAGAAGATTGACTGTACTATGAAGGACGTAATCAGCAATTCAATTCAACATTATTAAATCATAAATTTGACTTACCCAGGGCAAATATGCTCATTGTATAAGTATTAATTACTAATTAGACATTCAATTAATGCCTTGCTGATGACTTCCTTGAATTTAGAATAACTTTGGGGGAAAATCTAGGGGACTTAAGTCTCATTAAAATAATTACTCTGGGGCTGGCCCCAAGGTGTAGTGGTTAAGTTCGCACACTCTGCCTCAGTGGCTGGGGTTCACAGATTTGGATCCTGGGCAAGGACCTACACCACTCGTCAAGCCACACTGTGGCGGTGACCCACATATAAAATAGAGGAAGATTGGCACAGATGTTAGCTCAGGGCTAATCTTCCTCAAGCAAAAAAAGGAAGATTGGCAACGGATGCTGTCTCAGTGAATCTTCCTAACCAAAAAAAATTACTCTGACAAGTGATTATTGTTGCAGCATCTATAAGTGAAAAATTGTGAACAACTTAAATATTCAACAATAGAGTAATAAGCTAAGTCAGTTATGCACAGACATAAAATATTATTTGATCATTCAAATTTATCTTTATGAAAAAATCTCAATAACACGAAAAATTGCTTATTTTATAGTAAGTGAAAAAAGCAAGATGGAAAACGATACACAGTATTATTTCAACTTTGTGAGAATGTGCATTGAGAAATGTCAGTGCACAGTTACACAATGGATAATATATATGCATTCAAGCGATACGGAGGAATATTTATTGATACAGATTTTTACATTATATCCTTGGGTGAAAGGGGGGCATATATTACAATGCCATTTTTTTAAAAAGATGTATATTTATACATTTGCATCAAAATATCTGGAAAGATATGTGTGAAATGGTAATAGGATTAGCTCTGAGTATAAGGCTAATTTTTATTTTCCCCTTTTTACTTTTAGGCATTGTCAAAATTTTTCCATAATTATCATATATTAATTTTCTATGGCATAAAAAAATACACAGCTATTTCCAGTCATGGAAAAAGCAAAGGAAAATATTCAAAGAAAATATCCAAAATGTTAACAGTAGTTGCCTCTACACAGTGATTTCTCTTCTACTCTGTACTTTTTCATGCATTCCTACATTTCTTTAAAGGATCTATTCCTATCTTTATTTTTATTAGTGGCTAAGTTCTCTTTTACCCGATCTTAATAGAGCCATGCTCTCTGTGGTTCAGCCAGTACCTCCTGCTGCTCCTTTCGTATCCCTTCATTTTCAACCCTCCTGCAAGTCTTTGCTTAGCTATGTCTTCTGGACGATTTCAACATCAAATTGACTCTGATAATCTTTTTTTTTTTTGAGGAAGATTAGCCCTGACCTAACTGCTGCCAATCCTCCTCTTTTTGCTGAGGAAGACTGGCCCTGAGCCAACATTGTGCCCATCTTCCTCTACTTTATATGTGGGACGCCTACCACAGCATGGCTTAGCCAAGTGGTGCCATGTCTGCACCCGGCATCTGAACCAGTGAACCCCAGGCCGCTGAAGTGGAACGTGCGCACTTAACCGCTGTACCATCGGGCCAGCCCCTAACCTAAGTCTTTGAATTGGTGAGTGTAGTTGGAGATGCACTGGTTGTGTTCTGATGTATTTGGACATACACTATCATCCTATTTTGTGTTTTCTATTTATACTTCTATTTTTCTTTCTTTTCTCCTTTCCTGGTTCCAGTTAGATTAGCAAAAATTTCCATCTCCCCACCTTTTTTCTCCTGGTGTGAAGGCTATATATCATGTCTCTCTGATTTTGGAGGTTACCTTTAATTTTTTGAATAATGTATTTAACATATATAACAGTATAACATACAATTTTTTTCTAACAACGTCTGAAGTTATTTAATAGCTCTATCATACTCCAGAACAGAGCTTTAGCACAGGCTATCTCTGTCTATTCTACTCTCTTTATCATGCTGGCTTTTGCCTACATATTTATTGCCTCTTGGTTGCAATATGGTTGCCATAAGGCCATTAGGTACCAAGTTTACATTCAAGGCTGAAAAAAGGGAGAGGGCAGGGAGAAAGTTTATATCTATCCTACGTACGAAGAAAGCAAACACTTTTCTCCTGTGCTCCTAGCAGAATTCCAACGAGGTTGCATTGGCCAGAACCAGGTCACAATGCTGTCCTAGCTGCAAAGGAAGTGAGGAAAACTAAGGCAACAGTGTTTCCCAGTAGATCAGGATTCCATTCCCACTTCAGGCAAAATTCAAAAATGGTTCTTAAGGAGGGAACAAAATGCATCCGTTCTAACTATGACCTAGAGTAAGTCACTTTCCCCCACTGTGAAATTAGTACTTGCATAGATTATCTTTGCTGGTGATGTAAGTGATGAAGGCCTGGGTCAGGATAATAATAGTACAATAGAAAGTATTTGAGAAATATTTAAAGGAAAATTCAAGAGGTTTGAGACTGAATGAGCCCAGGCTTTTCCACAATTTGCATTTTTTTTCACTTTTTTTTAAAGATGGGCACCTGAGCTAAAATCTGTTGCCAATCTTCTTTTTTGTTTCTTCTTCTCCCCAAAGCCCCCCAGTACATAGTTGTATATTCTAGTTGCAGGTCCTTCTAGTTCTGCTATGTGGGATATCACCTCAGCATGGCTTGACGAGCGGTGCTGGGTCCACACCTAGGACCCAAACCCGTGACCCCTGGGCCACCGAAGAGGAGTGCATGAATTTAACCACTCAGCCACAGGGCCAGTCCCTCCTTTCATTCTTTTCAACACTACCTAGTAAACCCCTATATTTCAGTCCCAATTACTTTTGCCTGTTTATTCAAAGATTTGTATAGTGGGACCAACACTGCTCTACCACCAACCTATTTAGGTTTAGGTTTTCTCTTCTGTAAAAAAAGGGGGGACTTGGATTCATAGATCCTTCTCAGTTCTGAAATTTGTTGATTCTTTTTACTGATTAAATTAAGTCAAGATTCATTGAATACCTTATACAACTAAGGCATTCTTCCAGATGCTATGGGAATATAAAGATGAGTAAAATGTGTTCCTTGACCTCAAGGAATTCACAGAATAGTAAGCGTGATAGAAGGGCTTATCGTCCTCCTCCGTCTCCTCATCACCTACCTTCTTTTCTTCAGCTCTGCTTGCTTCCAAGGCCCATCTTAATGCTGTTGGAGGCTAGTGCAGAGTTTGTAACTTGATCTAGGTAGTTCCATTCCTGGCCCCATGTAATCGGGATTGTTTACTGAAGAAGAGAGACCACATACAGAAAAAGGGGTGAGTGGCAGGATTAGCTTAATTTGGGGAGGATCCATGAAAATGAGATGGAGTTTGGGATACAGCAGCTTGCTAGTCAGAACCCATGCTCCATAACAGCTTACCTAGCTCTTGAGATGCAACATTTCTTCTTGACTTTGAGTGACGAGCAGACATTTTTAAAAACTGGTGTAAGTGCTCACTGTTAATTTAATCACTGAATTGGCCTTGTGGAAGGCTTAATCAGAGTTGACTAACACACTCTAATCTCATCACCCTTGAGCTAGAATTTAGAACAAGGCAGGTTCTGATGTAAGCCCAGCCTAGAAAGATCCTTTCTCTGAAGTCCCTGGTCTCCAAACAGGTGGATTAAATCTTTCTGATCCCACAAGAGAACATATATACGAGGTAACTTTGCTCATTTCTACACTTTCTGTGCTAGATATTCTCCTCTGCCCCTGCGAATCCACTTTCCACCCTTTTCCACCCTGCTCTCTGCCCCAGTGGGTGACCTTCTTGGACCATATCAATGGTACCTCTTTCCCTCTGACTTCCAGTTGGGTTTAACTGATGGGAGGCCCTACTAGGAGGTCTAAGGTCGAGAGAGGAGTAATATCAGGTCTTTGTTTTCCGGGTGCTCTGCACTGTGCCTCCACGGCAGGCCACAGCAGAGTCGGGCACCTGCTCTCACACGTCTCTTCCTGAGTTTTAGTTGCTGACTACTCCTTTGTCCCTCCAGGCTTGCCCTACAGTGCTTCATCATCCTTTATTGGTGTCTCCTAACTCTGCCCACACCCTCATAAATGGTTACTCCATTAAATTCTCCTCCATTTTTCCCGTTGAGTGTGCCATCTCTTTCCTGCTAGGTTGTGACTGACACATCCTCCCAGAGAATGCTAAAGTGATATCTGTGCTTCTAAGGATTACCAACTCCCCCATCCCCCACACTGTACATATACTTTCTAATTTGAGTTGATGCATATAAAGCATTCATCTCAGGGACTGGCACACATTACTCTATGCTCAATAATTGTTGGCCCCTTTCCATTCCTCTCATCCTTAACCTAATGCTCCATTTGAGGTAGATATTATTATCCCCATTTTTTTCAACAGGTCCCATTGAGGTTAAGTAACTCTTGCTCAAAATGGCACAGTTGGGTCAAAATGACAGAGTTGGGTCTCAAACCTCTACTTTGCCTTCTTTGGTTTCTGCCTGTTTTCCAAACTTGCTTCTAAAGCCTTTTAGTCAATTTTGTGAGTTCACCAATATCCTCACAATATGTTTCCTTATTGTTTATGTCAATTTGAGTCTTGTTTCTTTTACATGCAGCTGAATGCATCCTAAATGATATACTATGGTGAACCTATGAATTTTCCAATGTTAGACCATTTTTGACCTATAAAAACTACAATTTTATATGGTTCAGTCTAACAGAACTTGGTGACAGAAGTGCAGTGCTTGAAATGTGTGAGTGACCAATTCAAGGAGAGGCAGTGGAGGGTGGGATGCCCCATTTTTCTAGGCGTGCAGCAAGCCTTTCTTATTCAACCATAGCAAAATAGTTGGTTTGACCCATTGTCTCTGAAGGGGAGCATACAAATCTCATCACTGAGATATGGAAACATATTAGACCACATACTTTTATATTTTTTATTTAAAAAATTGAAAAATTAAGTTTAACGACTATTTAATATATGAATTGACACTATTGTTCTTACTTAATTCATATGTCAAATGGTTTCATGTCACTCAGGTATGTGGCAGGCATGAATCTAGGTTTTTTGTGGCCTGATACAACCGTATTTTGGGAGCTTTCTTAAAGAAAAAGAACAAAAAATTATGAATCCAAAATAAGGAATGAAAGCAAATTGTTATTTAGAAGAAGAAAAGAAACACAGAAATTTCAATTTCATGTGATTTTTCTCATAAGGAGAGAAAAAATGGGGGGCTGGCCCCGTGGTCAAGTGGTTAACTTTGCATGCTCTGCTTTGGTGGCCCAGGGTTTTGCCGGTTTGGACTCTGGGTGCAGACATGGTACTGCTCATCAGGCCACGCTGAGGTGGTATCCCACATGCCACAACTAGAAGGACCCACAACTAAAAAAATATATATATACAACTATATACTGGGGGGATTTGGGGAGAAAAAAAAAGATTTGCAACAGTTGTTAGCTCAGGTGCCAATCTAAAAAAAAAAAAGAAAGAAAAAATGTGTGGTGAGTTGTTAATTTTATATGCCTCATTATTTAGTGTATTCCTGCCAGTAGAGACTTCCATTTTGACTAGGCATTAATGAGAACCAAATCTTCCACTTATAATTTTGCATGTCTCTTTAGACAAATTCTCTAAAGAACAGTATCTGATTCCATACATTTCGAATTGTTTCTCCTCCACTACCCCCATCCTCCTAGTACCCAGCATGGTTGGACACACTCAGATCACGATCTGACCTCTGGCCTTGCATCTTCGTGTCCCAGGAGCTAGATGAGTCGGCAGTGTAAAAATATTCCTGGAAAGCATTCCTACATCAGGAAGGCTAATGATAACTTACACATACATCTTTTCCATTAAACCCAAATTAAATGCACCAGCCCATTCAGCTTCCACTTAGATCCCAAAAGATGCCCGCTGCCAGTCCAACACCCATCCAACACGAAGGATGGATGTATGACAGAGGGGAAAGTGGAATGGAAAGGATTAGGGGCCCATGAAAGCGAGGAGCTTTGAATCATTAACTTCTTTCACTTTCTACATAATCCCTCTCACTGAGGGCAATCCTGAGGAAAGAGGGGGATTCCCCCTCCAATGCAGAGGATTCTAAAGGGATCCCTCACACAGGCACTTAATACACTTCACGTGATAGTATATTATGACAGCTGGCAGTTTGAGAGTCCAGTTACATCAACTCATAGATTATATTTTCCAGTTTTAACTAAGCTAACCATCACAAAACGCCTGAGTGTCTTAAAAAGAATCCTAAGAAACCATGGTAAATAACTGATACTAATAATGAAAGTACAACTGAAATACAAGAAAACGGCAGAGCCAACACTTGTCCACTTCTGGTACGAACTCTTGTCAGCCACATACTGAGATGAAAACAATGATGATGTAACCAGACTTGACACGAGGAGGCTCAAAAATTTCAAGACGACTATTTGAAATATGGATTTACATCCACCAATGATAATATGAAGCCATTATGATTAGCAAGACATTTAAAAATCTTGTTCATTTCACTCTTTAAAATTTTATATTTGCATGTTTGTTCACGGTATAAAAATGTTCACATGAAATGCCTTAATAAAATATTTACATATTCATATATTATGGGTGCATGTTTAAAAAGGTCATACTGAGAGGAATATTTTAAAAAGATTGGGGACCACAGGGCTAAACTATGGCCTGTGGTCTCTTAGAACCAAAATCATGTTCCTACAGAGATTATGACATTGGCTTATTTGGAGCAAGCCAGAATGACAGCATGTATTAAATACTTATGGATTTGAATCTGCCTCTCCCAACCATCAGGCCTTCGTCTGTGTGCTGCCATCCAATAGGTGGAACGTGTTACACAACCTTTGGGGTGTCTGCTTAGCTCAAAGCAACCATCTTTCACTGACAATTCTCCACCCTTCCTAACTGACAGAGTAGAATTTGCAAGCCACATTTTCACTCTGCCACCCCACCCCTAGACAAACTTGATTGGACTAGGAGTAGACTCCGATAAAAACTGAGCTAGTCAGTTGCTTTCTCCTTAGATTTTGTAACTGAAACTAAAACAGCTGGCCATTTTTTGGAATGGTGGTTATCTGAACTCTGGAGCTGAGGACGCCAGTGTCTCACAGCCGCGTGCAAGGAAACGGAGAGCAAGTTCTCTATAAAGAGAAGCTGCAGATGTACAGAGAACCTTAGAACATTATTTATCTCCTTTCCAGCCTCTTTGCCACTCTTCTAAAATACTTTGATTTTATATTGTTTATATTCTTGGAGTGATGCAACTGTGGGAAGGGGATCACAGCCAAAGAATGAATGTGGGCAGCCTCTATAAGATGGAAAAGGTAAGAAAACGGATTCTCCTCTAGAGCCTCCAGGAGTGCCCCGCCAACACCTTGATGTCAGCCCAGTGAGATCCGTCTGGGACTTCCGATCTCCAGAACTGTAAGATGACAAATTTGCATTGTTCCAAGCCACTACATTTGTGGTAATTTGTTATAGCAACAATAGGAAACTAACGCAGGTGGGCTAGCAGGAAGTTCCTCTGCAACATTTAACATACCACCGGCAAGTTCCTCCCAAGGCGCCTTGGACGTTCAATTCTATGTAGATTTGAATAACAGAATTTAAGAACTGAGAGGGATCTTCATGGAGGACTTGAGGTTGGTCTTGTCTAAGTTACTTGGCTCATCAGTTGTCAAGCCAGGACAAGAACCCAAGTCTCCAATCTTTCCTCTACTTACATTAAGGACTATAAGAGGTCCAACCAAGAGGCTGGTACGCAGAAGGTACTCAATAAGTGGTAGAGTTTTTTGTCATTGTTGTCATTATTATTACGCGTTATCCTTTGTAATCTATAATAATATTTCATTTTTTGAACATTGCCAAGTATGGAGGTACCCTGTAACAACATTTTTAAATCATCAAAAGCTAACCAGGTAGTGAGTGAGAAATTAGCTGGCCAAGAAGCAGAAGAGGACAGGGTCCACACATGCAGAGCACTTTTGCCCTGGGGGCATTTCCAGATTCAGAAGCAATCTAGGGAACAAAATATGGAGTCTAGGACCTGTCAAGAGTGGTGACTCTGGTAAACCTGTTTTCAGCTGGTCCTCAGAAGGACAGCACCCTGGAAGGTGGAGTGAACCAGACTAAATCAGTCCCCCCAAGTGCCCAACGCTCTGGATTAGAGTGATCCTGTTTGTTGGCATCCTGAGGCACCGGCCAGAAGAAAATGAAATCCTCTGTGGGGAAAAGAAATCATCATATGTTTCACTAGGGTTTCAAGTGTTTCTGTTACAATGTCTAGCATACAAAGACAGGTGACAACAGGAGCAAGAACCAGCTTAAACAATACACAACAAATAACTAGAACGAAGAACCTACAACAGACCCACTGGGACTCCAGATATTGGACCTATCAGAGACCCAGACTGGACACCAACGATGCCTACTATATTCAAAGAGATAAAAGCCAAGATTGACAATTTTGGCAAAGAGTTAGCCATTATAAAAATGAATCTAGGGGCCGGCCCTGGGGCCAAGCGGTTAAGTTCGAGTGCTCCACTTCGCCGGCCCAGGGTTTCGATAGTTCGGATCCCGGGATTGGACATGGCACCGCTCATCAGGCCATGCTGAGGCAGCGTCCCACATAGCACAGCTAGAAGGACCTACAACTAGAATATGCAACTATGGACTGGACAGCTTTGGGGAGAAGAAGGGAAAAAAAAGATTGGCAACAGATGTTAGCTCAGGTGCCAATCTTTAAAGAAAAATAATGAATCGAACAGATTTTTAAAAGAATCAAGTAGAAATTCTAGAACCTAAAATTCCCTCTCCCCCCCCAAAATAGCTCAATACATAAGTTTAACACCATAGAAGAGAGAATTAGTAATCTAGAAAATATAAAAAAAGAGAAGGTAAGAGAAACAGTGGATGGAAAAGATCTGACAGACACCTAATTGGAGTTACAGAAGGAGAGAAGAAAGTGGGGGCAGAAGCAGCATGTGAAGAGGTAACGGCTGAAAATTTCCCAGAACCCATGAAAGGCACTGATCAACACATTCAGGAGGTCCGGTGTATCTCAAGCACCATAAATAAAAAGGAACACGCTCCCAAACATACATAGCACAGGAGCAGAAATCAAACCTACGAGAAGAACACCTTATAAAGCAGCCAGCGGGAAAACCCCACGGCCCGAAAGCAGCAGGCGCACCGGCAGCTGCCTTTTCGGGGGCATCCGGTTTAGGGGCGGTGAAGGCACACGGACGGCCTCCACCCTCACGGCTCCTCCCCTCGCCCCGCTCCCGCACTTAACCTCGGGATCACCACGGGCCCACCCGGACACCCCAGGCTCTCCCTCCGCCAGGATCCTGCAGCATCTCTGCAACGTCCCTTTCGCCGGGGAGGGCAACCCGCCCCCAGCTCCGCGGTGGACGTGGCATCTGACGGGCCGCTGTTGCGGCGACCCCATCATCCACGGAACACACGCCCTCGCCCCGGATCCTAAGCGGCTCTTTGCTGCCTTGAAGCCCCCGGGAAACAGGGCATCTTACTTCCCAGCGGCACAGCAGCGCGGGGCTCTGCCTGTTAACCCGTCTAACCCTCCCCAACCTCCCTCCTTGCGGGGCCGACGCTGCCGCCGCGACTCTGCAGGTTCCGGATGGAACCGGAGCGGGGGTCACGCGCCCCGGGCCGCGAAGGGCCCGAGGGGGTCCGTGCGTCCGGCCGCCAGGCCCCGGCCCGGCCTCCTGGGGCCCTGCCGTCGCCCCCAGACGCGCTCCAGCTGGCGGCCTAGTTAAGTGAGCGAAGCAGCAGGGCTGGGGGGCTTCCGCCGGCGGACGCCTCGGACCACAGCCGGGCGGGAAACGCGCCGGCCGGACCCCGCGGCCGCGCCGCCTCGGCCTCGGCTCCCCGCTGCGGGGCGTGCGCCCCCGGCCCGCGCCTTCCGCCGACCCCCGCGCGTCCGGGAGCCTCGCCTGAGGAGCCGCGCTCGGGGCGGAGGCGACCGGGGGGCGGACACGAGACCCGGCCCGCCGGTCTGAGGGCGCCGCCGGCCGCGCTGAGGGACCGCGACCCGGAGACGCTCGGGCGCGCGCCCCGGAAGCGCCCGCCCGGCCCGCCGAGGCCGCCTCCCCCCGCCCGCGCGCGCGTCCTCGGGCAGCGGAAGTGACGCAGCGCGCCCGCCGCTCCCCGCCCCGCGCCGTCGACCCGCTGCTCTGCCGCGGCGGGCGGGCCTGCAGGAGGCGGCGGCCGAGGCCGA